TGGCTCAATCCAGAAGCACACACACATGGACAGGCCACCCCAGCTGTCCTTAGAGATGAGAGCTCTTGCAGGGGCACAGACTCTGCAGAGACATCTGTGTGACTGTGGGTGCCCCCCGGAGCCCCATCTCAACAGCCTCCCCTCACAGGGAGTATCTTGGTTACACCCGCTCCGTGATGGCCCCCAGAACAAAGGCTGTCTGCAGCCTCAAGGTGAACTCAGGGCCCCTCCTCCAAGCACAACTGACATCGGGCTTTGATGTGACAGCACTTCAAGTCTTGCCTCCCACACTTCAAAGTGCAGAGGCCACATGTAGGTTGTAGCTCACGATCAAGGCGCCATGTTGTCCTTCCTATGGGGGTGATTTTGCGTGGAGGACACATCTTTCAGACTCTTGGCAGTGGGGGTGGGGGTGGGGTGGGGAGGATACTCAGGCGCAAACTGGACAGAAGGGCATCTGTTTGGCTTTTGGTTTCAAGCTCCGGGGTCCACCTTGCCCGGCCACCACCCTCCCTCAATGCCCATTCACAGCTGCGTGTCCTGGGCTCCCTAACAGGAGGGGGCTGTGATGGTAGCTGCAGGGGGTGCTGCTCCCACAAAGTGCTGTTCTTACAGATCCTGAGCCCCCCGCCCCCTCAGCAGCAGGATTCTCACTGTGGCTCCAGCTGCCTCCTGTCCTTGGCCCTGGGAGGTCACTGTCCACAGCCCCAGGATCAGTGGAGGGCTCGGTGTGGGAATCTCGGCCATCTTCATGCGGCTCCTGAGAGTGGACGCAGGTATCTCTACCTCGAGATTGCTCTGCATACCAGGCTCTCCCCACGATCTACTAACGAAATCCCTTTTTAGCCTCTGCTGGTCTCCACGGTCACCTGCTAGGCCTCAACCATTTCAACCATCTTTGCAATTAGTGTTTGTGAACTTGCTATATGGCAGTTACCTTACTATTCCAAATGTCATCAGTGTCCTGTAGCAGCTGGCTGGGACCCATATAATGACTTTCAGCTTCACAGGGTCCCCAGAGAGAGATTCAGGAGGAATGTGCCACTCATGGACCAATGTTCTGCATGTCAAATGCTCTGTGGGCGCCGATATCCCAACGGAAGGTCAGCCCTTGTCCCCCGAGGGGATGTGGCCCAGATGTGCGGTGGCTGCTGAGTCAGCAGGAGATGGCAGTGTGCTATGTCTTCCCGCACTGCCATAACAACACACTGTCATCTCCAGCAACAGGAGTTTATTTCTCCCTGTTCTGGAGGCAGGAAGTCCAGGATCGAGGTGCCAGTGGGCTTGATGTTGGCTGAGGGCTCTCTCCTTGGGCTGCAAATGGCTGTCTTCTCTCTCCCTGTGGCCTCACATGGCCTTCCCTTGGGTCATGCAGGTGGACAGAGGAAAAGCACTCTGGTGGCTCTTCACTTAAGGGTATTAATCCCCTTATGAGGGCTCCAAACTCAGGACCCCACCTACAACTAGGTGGGCACCCAGGTGGCTCAGTCGGTTGAGCGTCAGACTTCGGCTCAGTTCATGATCTCATGGTTCATGAGTTCAAGCCCCACATCACACTCACTGCTGTCAGTGCAGAGCCCGCTTCAGATCCTCTGTCTCCACACCCCCATCTGTCTGTCCCTCCCCCTCTCTCTAGCTTCCCTGCACTCTCTTTCTCTCTCAAAAATAAACATTTACATAAGTAAATAAAACTAAGTATCTCCCAAAGGCCTCATCCATCATACTGGGGGTTAAGGCTTCAACATATGGATTTGAGTGGGGGTGGGGCGGGGGAGCTCATAGCAACTGTCAAGGAGCAAGGATGTCCCCAGCTAGCCCTTGGTACCCAGGCCATAACTGGGCTGTGCTTGAGATTGTGGGGAATTTAGGAGAAAGAGGTGGCCCTGGGCCAGCACCTAGGGGTTCACATTCTCCAGGAGCCCTGGATAGGTGAGCAGGTCCACGTGTGAGGAGCCATGATGGAAAACTCGGATTTAACCCAGGAGTGTCAGACTTACTCCGGAGGTGGTTAGTGAAGGGAGAGGTCACAGCAAAGGACCTCTGGAGAACTGGTCCTGGGTCTTCGGCCCCTTGGTGGTCAGCGGGTCTCCTCCACTGGGCACACAATGTCCGTAAAAGGAGCCAGGGCCTTCGGAAGCAGCTTCGGTATCATGGCGGTAGTTGGACAAGATGGAGGGACAGGGTGAGTGGACTCAGAACCAGAGGGACCGCACGGGGCTCTGTGTGGCACAGCTGCTATCACAGAGAAGCCAGCACCCAAGCAGAGGTGGGGACCTGCACTGCCCCACCCTCTGCAGGGTCCGGCTCCTGGCCACTTGGGCAGGCCCAGCTCCGCTCCTGCATCTGCTCACACTCGGCGTCCACGTGGCTGCTTCAGCCTGGGCCCTTCTTGGTCCCTGCGGCCAAGATTGTTGGGTCACGAGACAAGGGACCACCAGGGACCATCTCTCCACTGGAGCCAGTGCCCCCCAGGACCAGGTCACACAGCATCATAGGAATCTATTTATTTGGCAAATCCAGTTAAACAAATCATTTTCCACTTAACTGTGCTAGTTTCACACACGTACATATAACAAGTATGTCTCGGGTTTTTCTGGACTGGGAGGAAAAATGGGTCACATTTATGGCCAGATAATGTCCCCAAGCCTCCTTTGATGGCAGGAATTTCAGCGATTTCCACAACTAAGCTCAGCGTTTCCCAAGTCGATACCACTTGGTGCTGGAGCAGACCCGTGGCTGCTTCAGCACCCTGACCCTGACACCGACCCTGAACCTGACCTTGACGTCCGTCCCTTCGGTGCCTTCTGGGCCTGACTGTTTGGCCTACAGTGTGGACCCTCCTGCAGAGAGGCCTGGTCTGAGGTGCTGGCCCTGAGCCCACTCCTCCAGACCCTGGTGAGCCGTCCATGACTTGCAGGCCAGGGTGGGTCCCCATGGAGAGAGAAGAGGCTCATGTGCTCCCCCAGTGTGTTAGGATCAGTGGGGGGGGGGTCTCCAAGGCTCACCCACATGTCCATGGTTGCCATCACAACCTGAGTTCATGGGTATAACGTCCCCTGTCCCCTTCTCTGTCACTCAACTCAGGCAAGGTCATGCTGCTGCGGAGAACATTGTAGGTTTATGAACATCACAAGGGGTGTTGGGTGCTTAGCGCCCTGCCATCAGTTTCTCTCAGGAAGCCTGTCTGGCCCTAGAGACATTGGTAGATATAAGTGATGCGCTCCCAGCATTCAGTGCAAAGAGAGAAACTGGGGAGAGGTGGGGACTGCACGTATCCATCGGGCACAAATGTCCTGTTGGATGTAACAGTCTGGTTTCCTTAGAGCCTCTGCAGGTATCTGGGGGGGAGGAAGGGATTCAGTCTGCAGAGCCCCTGCCCCAGGCTGTTCCTGGATGCCCAGTCTGGGGGGAGGGGGGAGCCTCTGGTCCTGGTTGTGATCACTCCTCCACAGCTATTTCCACCCTTTCACTGACGCTTGTGTTCTCACCCTTCCCTCCACCGACCACTGAGTTGGCTGTGGCGGAAGCAGGAGGGAGAGGGGCTCCTGCCTTTGGATGGTCTCCGGCTGAGCTAGGGATTCTCAAACAGGAAGCAGCTCTGCCTTCCATCCTTCCTCCCCATCCTCCCCCCACCCCACCCCTTCACAGAGCCCCGAAACTTTGAGCCTTGGGTAATCAACCAGGCTCCGCCTCCGCCTCTTGGCAAGGTTTTATCTAAATCACCCTCTTCTTCCGCCACAAGCCACCTACCTTCTGTCCACCCCTCGGCAGTAGAAGCCCCTTTCCGTCCAAGTAGAAAGTGGTTCTTTTCTTCCTAAAGATCTCCCCCTTTCTCACATTAGGTTTTCATCCCTTACATCTCGTCCCATTCACTCCATCTTGCAAAGCCACCCCACAACTCATCATTCTAACCAGTTTGCTCTCTGAGGAGGCTGAGTCCTTGGAAGGCTCATAGCCGCCACAGCTCCTCCTCCTCAGGGCCACCTGAGAAGCCTGGTGCAAACCAGAATCCAGTTGTTTGGTCTCCAAGCAGAAACTGCAGGGTGCTCTGTGCCATCGAGATGGTTCCTCCAATCCCTGGCTGGTTTGTTTTCCCCCTTCTGGCCACTGGAGAGGTACAATTCTGTAGACAGCACCACTGGCAAGATTCAGGTGGGCAAGACAAATACAAGTTCCTTATTCTTCTCTGGCTGAACCAAATCAAGCCTGATTCTTTCTCATCTTTCTTGATGAAGTGGTCTAATTCACAATTAGACTGGTCTTATCTGGTCACATTCAGGAATTTCACCCTCTTCTAGGTTTGTCCCCAGTGCCTCTCTTCCCATTGGGCCAGTGCTAAGGCTCCTGTCGTGGACACCATGATGGCAATGGGGGTGGCTGTCTTCTCCCAGCCCTTGGCCTGTCACCTTCCTTCCCCAGGTGTATCCTATTCCCTTGTGGCTTTCAGATGTCACCAGTGCCTTTCCACTCTGTCCCCAACTCTTCCACAAAGCATCCATAGCGCCAACATGTCCTGGTTCATACCAGCACCCCTCATTCTTCCGCAGCCTTGGCGTGGGCATGGGAAGCTTTGGTTGACTTCCTGGGTCTTTTTTTCCCATAGGAAACTGGGGGCTCTCTGTATGTTCTTTCTCTGCCTCGCTCACCCACACTTGCTATCATCTCTGTGAGGTTATTGGCCAACACAGACCTGGAAGGGACCGAGAAGTACAAATCTGCTGGGACCTCCAAACTAAAAAGGAGCTTGCTACATCCCTGGTGCTCCATCTCTTCCCAGAGCATCTTCCACCATGACCAACCCTCTGGGGTCTCCCTCCTAACTCCTCTCTCTTCCTTTCCAGAATCTTCTAGTCTAGGGGAGAGCTGGGAAACAGCCTTGCTCAGATGGTCTCCTTCTTTCTCAATTCTTCTACCTCATGCTTTTTGAGCTTAGAAATAAGGAATTCACCTAGTTATCAGGTCCTTCAGAGACTCCCAAATACTGGGTGAATCATGTCCAGTTGCCTGCATGCTGGGGAAAGCTCTTTGGAGCATAATGAGCAAAGACAGTGTTCAATGAGCATCAAAAGGGAAAGCACGCCAGCAGATGTGCCACATTCAAACATCGTATCAGAAACGTTGGAATGGGATATCTGCTACCGGAGTTTGGGGCTGGGGTTTCCTTCTCCTGAGGAGGTCTTTCCTTCCTTAGATCCTGCTGGACGTGGTATCCTCAAGGACAAACTGGACCCTGGAAGGCCGGTGGGCCATGATGTCCATGCGGAATTCTTTGATAACAAAATAGTAGCAGAAGACGTCGAGGCAGCAGTTGATGTTGGACAAACACATGGACAGTTGCAAGAACAAGCTGATGTTCTGCTTAGCTCTGCACTCCACAATAAAGCCATTCCGTACCAGGAACTGCAAGAAGAAGCCCAAGTGGACCGGAAGAAAGGAGACCACAAAGACAGCCAGGCTGGCTGCAATTGTCCAGATGCAGGCTTTCTGCTGGACCCAGTCCTGGGTGAGGTCCCGACGGCTGACCAGGATGTAAATGCTCCTGGAGGAACAGAAACCCATGACACCCATGGGAAGAAGGAAGCCGAACACCTCGAGGGGGAAGAAGACTTTGGCACTCCAGGTACCATCAGACATGTTGTGGAAGCACGTGTACTTTTCCACCTTCCCATGGAAGCTGTAGATGGGGGTACTCCCAGCCCACACGAGGACCCAGATGGTGCAACAGATCGCAAAGGTCTTCCTGGGGGACCGGAGGTGGCTGACCAGGAACGGGTACTGGATGGCCAAGAATCTATCCAGACTAATGAAGCAGATGGTGAAGACACTCCCGTACATGCTAATGAAGTACAAGCACTCCACGAAGGTACAGAAAGAAGGATGGGGAGCCCGTATGTTGGACAGCGCCATCTTGAATGGAAGGGACAGCACCAGCAGCAGGTCAAAGACTGCCAGGTTGATCATGTAGATGGAAGTGGCAGCATAATCGGGCCACCTCCTCTTCAGGAAGGTGCTAAAGCCTCGGATGGCAAGCAGGTTGAGAAGGAGGCCCAGGAGGAAGGTGGGGATGTGGACGGCCAGCTGCATGGTTTTCATCAGCTCATCCACATTACTGAAGGAGCAGCTCTGGCTTCTGTTCAGTTGCTGACTCATGTTCTTTCCTACAACACCAACAATAGATTAGACGACGTTCCTCTCGCCGTCTACGCGTGACGGATCCAAGTGACTTTATCACACATTCGGGCCCATTAAATAACAAGTAGAAAATGCAAGAAACAATGACCTCTCATCCAGCTGCCCAGGTATAACCACTATTACCTTTTTATGTATATCATTCCAGACTCTCTCACACTCACACTCACACACATGCACGCGCACGTGTGTCCCTTTTTTGTTTTACAAAAATGGAATTGTGTGTGAACATCTGTCCTTTTTTTCAACCATAACTCCTTCTGTTAAAAGTTAGCAACAATCAACCTGGCGCCTGTGTGGCTCAGTCAGATGAGCGTCCAACTTCAGCTCAGATCGTGATCTCACGGTTTGTAAGTTCAAGCCCCATATCAGGCTCTCTTGCTATCAGTGCAGAGCCTGCTTTGGATCCTCTGTTTCCGCTGCCCCCCTGCTCTCTACACCTTCCCTGCTCACTCTCTCTCTCTCTCTCAAAAATAAATAAACATTAAAAAAAGAAAGAAAATAGTAACAATGACACAAACCTGCCCCAAACTGGCTTAAGCAAAGAGAATTTCACACAGCTGAGAACAGGAGAAGTAGGGCAGGACTGATGAGCTACCGCTTGATGTGGAACTCAAATACTGTTTCCAGGACCCAGACCCTCTTTGCATGTGGTCCATCTGCTCTCCACCACCCGCATCCCAGAAGGCTGGACAGAGTTGACCCCACCCCTGCCCAACTGGTTGTTTGTTGGTTCAGGGATGGACATTTGACCCACCCAGAGGGACAAAAAGCAACAATAACTCTTACTTGGGTTTCTAGGAAGGGGGTTGGGGCTCTCTTGGTAGGACTTCAAGCTGGAAAGACATGGAGTCTAGAGGTGCTGCAGACCCTTCTTATATCCAGACAGAAAAATGGAGAAACGTGGAAGAAAGGACATTCGCAGAGGGAATGAAGTGATGGCTTGAATTCTCCACAGGGCAAAGAAAGGCCTTTACACAGATGGACAATTAGAGCTGGTCTCAAGAGACCTCTAATTGGTCTCAAGGACCAGAGGACCAAAGTTGCAGTGTGGCTGTGCAGGAAAGCTGGCTGTCAGCAGACAGGAGGGGATCACAAGTCAGGGCTGCCATTCAGGCCAAAGACGAGGGTCCAAGGCAGGCCCTGGCCAGGTCTCACTTAAGAGCATGTGGGTGGGGGCATGCCCTAGTGGCTCTCTTGGTTTGGGCTGCCATAACAGAATACCACAGACTGTGTGGCTTATAAACAACAGAAATCTGTTTCTCACAGCTCTGGGGGCTGGATGTCCAAGATCAGGGTGCCAGCACAGTTGGGCTGGGCCCTCTTCCAGGGTGCAGACTGCCAACCTCTCTCTGTGTCCTCACGTGAGAACAAGACTCTCTGGAGTTTCTTTTCTAAGACCACTGATCCCATTCAGGAAGGCTCCGCCCTCAGGATCTAATCACCTCCCCAAATGGCCCCACCTCCTAATACCACCCTCTTGGGGTTAGATTTCTACATCTGAATTTGGGAAAACCGGGGGGGGGGGTGCGGGGGACAAACATTCAGTCCATAATGGTGGTCCTGGAGCAGATCAAAACCAGGAGATGTTCAGCCCAGGCCTCCGGAAACAGTGCTGCAAGAGAGAGAATTCAAATATGACCCAAACCCCACCCACTCTCCTCTGTCCCACACCCTTCTCCCCACATCCCGTGCAGATCTGCCAAGTGGTTGGTCTGAGGCACTGGGTGTGCCAGGTCCTGGAACACATAAGGTCCCTGCATGTGGGACATCAGTCACTCTAGGCCACAGCCTGCTCATCACAACTCTCCTGCCCTCAGTGACTTCCTGGCAGCAGGGGCTTTGGTCCAAACCATGGATGTGTCAGGGAAAAGGTGCCAATAGAACCAGTGACCAATGACCCCAATGTTCATAGCAGCACTCTCCACAATAGCTAAAACATGGAAAGAGCCTAAGTGTCCATCAACAGATGAATGGATCAAGAAGATGTGGTTTATCTATACCATGGAATACTACATGGCAATGAGAAACAATGAAATCTGGCCATGTGTAGCAACATGGATGGACCTTGAGGGTGTTATGCTGAGCGAAATAAGTCAGGCAGAGAAGGACAAATATCATATGTTTGCACGTATAGGAGGACTAGGAGGAACTTAACAGAGGACCAATCGGGAGAAGAAGGGGGGAAATGGTGGGGGAAAGGGAGAGAGGCAAACCATGAGAGACTCTTGAATGCTGACAAAAACTGAGGACTGATGGATGTGGGGGGGAGGGGGGGATGGGCATGGAGGAAGGCACTTGTGGGGATGAGCACTGGGTGTTATGTGGAAACTAATTTGACAATAAACTATTTGTAAAAAAAAAAAAAATCTAATTAAACCCTAAAAATATGTTAGTTTAATTAAAAAAAAAAAAAAAACCAGTGACCAATGCAGCTACTAGCTGAGCTTGTGTTGTTCTACTGGTTTTTTAAAAAATATATTTCTTGGGGCGCCTGGGTGGCTTAGTCGGTTAAGCGTCCGACTTTCGCTTAGGTCATGATCTCGCGGTTCGTGGGTTCGAGCCCCGTGTCGGGCTCTGTGCTGACTGCCAGCTCAGAGCCTGGAGACTGTTTCAGAGTCTGTGACTTCCTCTCTCTCTGACCCTCGCCTGCTCATGCTGTCTCTCTCTCTCTCTCCCAGAAATAAATAAAACATTAAAAAATATATATATATATATATTTCTTTATTTTGAGAGAGAGAAGGAGAGAGTCAGTGGGGGAGGGGCAGAAAGAGGTGGGGAAGAGAGAGAATCCAAGGAAGGCTCCCCACTGTCAGCACAGAGCCCAGTGCGGGGCTCAAACCCACGAACCATGAGATCATGACCTGAGCCGAAGTCAAGAGTCAGACACATGACCGACTGAGCCACCCACGTGGCCCTAGTAGTTTTTTTTCTAATTGAAAAAATATTCCATGCATTCAATAAGATATTCAGACAAAACACACACACACACACACACACATACACACACACAAAGAAAAGGGGAAGGAAAAAGAAAGGGAAGGGAAGGGGAAGGGAAAGGGAAAGGGAAGGAGGAGGGTAGGGAAGGGAAGGAAGGGAAGGGAAGGGAAGGGAAGCCTCAGCTGTTTTTTCCGGAGGCAACCACAGTTAACAGTTCTGTGCATACTTTTTCCAGAAATTTTCCAAAGATAGGCATACACACACACACACACACACACACACACACAGAGACACACATGATGTTTCTTTAAATTTGGAAAATATTACACTCACAGCTCTAACCTTTGCTTTTTCACTTTACAACATTTCTTGGAAATTGTTCCGCATCAACGTCTATGAATTGACTTTTTCTTCTTAATGGCACCGTTGTGTCTTGTTGTGGGGAGATACCACAACTCATTTAGCCAATAGCCTACTCATGAACATTTAGGTTTCCTGCGGGTTTACTGAGGGACCAAAACTTCCACAACAAACACCCTGTGACTTATTTCTTTGCCGCATAGATCTGGATAAGAGAATTCCCATCCTGCTATTGTCTCTTAGTCAGTGTAACTCCTGTGGAAGCCTTTGGGAAGGAAGGATTTGGGTATTTTTAATAGTCTACATAGAATGCCGTTCCTGGGGCACCTGGGTGACTCAGTCAGTTAAGAATCCAACTCTTGATTGAGACTCAGGTCATGATCTCACAGTTCATGAGTTTGAGCCCTACATCAGACTCTACACTGACAACAAGGAGCCTACTTGGGATTCTCTCCCTCTTTGCCCCTCCCCCAATCTCTCTCTCTCTCAAAATAAATAAATGAACATTAAAAAATATATAAAAGAATGCCATTCCCAAACCCTCTCTAACTGCTAGCAAAAAAGAATGTATTTTTATATCATCCATGGAGAACTATGTGTTAAACACTTTACATACGTTCCTTGATTTGGTGGCTTCCTTATGTTAACTACGCTTAGGGGTTTATATCACAAAAATTAATTATAGGAAAATTTATTTCTTCACATTTAAAGCTTTGGGCCCCTGAGGTCTGTGCAAAGAGCACCTCCTGGAGTTGTGCGGTGTAGACACCCCACCCAGGCATACCTGCTCCCGCCTAAGGACACCTGTCAGACACACAGGCTGGCAGCCTGCTTCCTCCCGACTAAAAATGCCAAAATATCCCCAGGCCTATCTCAGAAAATGGCTAGAATAACTTGGAACCAACAAGAGAAATTTCAAAAATGGTGACAAAAAGCAGGCATTTGCGGCGGGGGGCGGGGGGTGCGGAACGGAAGTAACCAAATCCAGGTCTCACTGCAAAGTGTTGCAGCATCAAACAGGAAGAGTCGATTGTTTCAGAGAAGTCACCTTCAATAGCAGAAGCAGCAGTAAACCAAGAACCACAAGAATAAGAGCAAATACAAATTTGTGTCTAAAGAGATTCTCAAGACTGCAAAAAAGAGGAACTCGGGCATCCGTTTTCAGCTGGGTCGTGCTGAGGCGCCCTCCACGGAAGAATCTACCACATCGCGGGTGGTGGTGACTACAACTAAAGCAGCCAAGAAAAAAAAATCAGTGATGCTCAAAGGTAAAACCAAACCCAACCCCAACATATGGCCGAGTTACACGAACCAAAGGGAGAAAAATGGTCTGACAGGGCCTGTCTGACTCAATTGCACCAGGTGTGTTTGGGGGAAAGATACAATTCAGCTCTCGGTGTTCTCCATCGTTCTCCGTTAGGAGGATCCTAAAGGTCACATCTGAATTACTGACAGATTTCAAACGGCAGCTTTTCAAATGGAAATCTTTGAAGTCAGAGAAAGCACTCTGTGGACTGGCAGAAAGAAATTAGGTTGAAAAAATAAAAGCCTTCCGGCTAATGGCAGGGTAAGCAGAGAATCTGAAAAATTAATCCTCTGAATTCCCTCGGAAAGTTCAAGGAAACCATCTTTTAAAAAATCTCCTTCAAAAAAAGAGCAGGAACTTCTC